ATATATATTACATATATGCACATATGTACATAGCCTATATACATGCACATGTATGAAAATAAAACTTCCTAATTTGATTCAAAATCACAATCACCCTTAAAATATATTTTTAAAAAATATAATTGTCATGCCTTTTACACTAACATTTTTAAAAGAACAGATTTGTCTAACCAATCCAACAGAAATCCTTGCAGGAATATGTCAAATTTTCTCTTTGCCCAGAGCTACACAGTAAAGAAACCAGTGCCTAAAATATAAACAAGTGACTTAAACCAATATTTTTTAAAAGGCCTTACTTCCAAATTAGTCAGCGCACACAATAATTTGCCACTAATACATGGCAACTTTCCACCAAATGTACAAAATAAAAATAATAAAAGCTGTCAACCCTATGCACATATTGCAATGCAGGGGAGTGCAGCGACTGAGGGGATGGGCTCTGTGGCCTTGAATAACTTACATAACCTACCTGGTTTTTATTCTAATAAAACTCTCTGAAGCAGGAAGTGATGATTATAACTGTAATACTCTGCCTTTATTAAGTTGAAACTTTCACTATAGTCATTAACTATTATTTGATTTTCTTTCATATTTGGTTTTTGTTTTGACAAATTTCCCCAATTTAAGTTTATACAGAATGCAGCATAGATAACACCTGCCCCTGCTTTCCCATCACTTCACAAAAAGTGATGTTGTCCCGTTACCGATGACCTCCATGCTGCCCAGTCCAAAGGCTGATTCTCATTTTCACTTTAAGTGGCCCATCTGCAACATTTATAATCCAGCTGATCACTCCCTCCTCTTTTAAATTCTTCACTTGGCCTCCAGGACTCACTCTTTATCCAAAATTCATCCAACAAATATTTATCAAGCATCAGTTGTGGACAGGTGCTCATTGGGATGCTGCAAACTTCTTACCTCACTGGCTGCTCCTTTGCAATCTGATCTATCTTTTCCCCCTGACCTTGTAACACTAAATTCTCAAGAGCTCCACCTGTGGACTCTTGTTTTATATCTACACTCACTCTGTTGGTGATTTGGGCCAGTTTATATACCCTCTATATGCTCATAACGCCCAAGCTTTCATCAATACCCCGATTTCTCCTCAGAAATTCGGACTCTCAGCCAACTGAGGCAGGTGTTATCTATCCTGCATTTTAATTCTCCACTGAAATACCTAAGAGGCTTTCAAATGAATGAGTCTCAATTCTCCCTTCCCTCAATCTTCTCCTTCATCAGCCTCATCCATCTCATTAAATGTCAATTCCATTCTTCTAATTGCTGGGACCAAACCATTTGGAGTCAACCTTGATGTTTCTCTTTCTCTCACAAATCCAATCTGCCAAGAAATCCTATCAACTCTACATTTACAACAAATCCACAATCCAACCTTTTCTCAACACTTCCACCTCTAGCACCTACTTAAGGCTCACACCCTCTCTGATGGATTACTGCAATAGCATACTTATTGGTCTCCCTGTTTTTTGCTCTTTTGTCCCTTTCGATCTATATTTATATCTTAGACCACCACAATAAAGTGAGAATCACAATAAAGTGAGTCGCAATCTTTTTGCTGGTGAAGGGTCTTGCCTTCAATTTATAAAAAACACAACATCTGTGCCATAAAGCCAAGTGTAATAAAATGAGGCCTGTATTCTTAAAACATAGGCCAGAAAGATCTCTCTGAGGTATATGTAAAATTACAACCCTCCTCTGCTTGCTATTTCAATCAGAATAGAAGTTATGAGTGAGGAGACATGAAGGAGGAGACAAGGTCAGGATGAGGTTCTATGTGAACTGGATTCCTGCTCTCAGTTCTCTAACGTCATTTTCCTGCTACCTTTCTCCTCACTCTCTTAACTCCACCCACACTAGCCTCTTGCTGTTCCTGCCTCAGGGCCTCTGCATTCCTTCCTCCTGGACCGCTCCTTCCCAGATGTGGTTTACTTTCTCACAACCTTCAGGTTTTGGCTCAAATGTGGCCTTCTCAGGGAGGCCTTCCATAACACTCTATCTAAAATCATAAATGGACCAAATTGCCAACCACGCCCAGGACTCCCTGTCCTCTTTCTCTCCAGAGCAGTTATCACCATGTCAGCCTTTGTCTGTTTTGCTCACTGCTGCATCCTCCAAACTCAGAACAGTGCCTGGCACGCAGCGCTCAATAAACATTTGTTGAGTGAACTGAACAGAGGCCAGCTTAATGGAGAAAGCTGAACAGCAGATCTTGTCTAAATAAAGAGATTTTTAAAAAGCCGGCTTTCCCACTCCGTTCCACACCAAGATCCTGGGAGAGCTGAAATGCCCAAAAGCCCAAGTTTCATAGATCTTAATTTCACATCTCTTCCCCTTAACAATGTTACTATCATGTTCTGTAGCTTCACAAAAAAGAGACAGCTTTATGTATATTTATTTGTAATATTAATCTATTTAATCCAATAATGAACAGTACTAAGTAAAATCCCCAGTGTAACTCTAGGTAGCATCCTACTTCTTTATACCTCATAGGTTCATGAACTGTGTATTAATAATGATCAAATATGTGGAACCCAAGCATTCAACATACATAATTAGGATGACTTTAAAATTCTAATTTTACCTCACTTTTTACATAGGATAGTTGTAGCTTCTCATATGTGTTCTCTAGGTTGTTTGTGTGTGTGTGTGTGTGTGTGTGTGTGTGTGTTTCCATGCTAGGAACAGATTCCATCTGGTCATGTCTAAGAAGCAACTACATTTCAAAGTCACAAACTTATTATTACTGATACCTGGACTTTCATATTTTCTCTCCCCCTTATTATTACAAAATATGGTGAAAAAAACAATAAAAAACAGTTGCTGTACAACAACGTTGACTACACTTAACTGTATAGCAAGCAACATGAGAGAGCAGAGAACTTAGCTGATGCACAAAAATCCAAATTTAGCCTTTCAAGGCAGTTTAGGAGTATTAGTAATATAATGTATGAAAGTGTGTATCCTGGCCAGTTTGGTTCAATGGATGGAGCATCGGCCCTTAGACTGAAGGGTCGAGGTTTGTTTGATTCTGGTCACGGGCATGTACCTTGGTTGGAGGCTCCATCCCCATGTTAATGTTTCTCTCTCTGTCTCTCCCCCTCCTTTCCACTCTCTCTAAAAATCAATGGAAAAAATCTCCTCGGGTGAGGATTGACAACAAAAAAAGGAAAGAAAGTGTGTATTGTTTTAAAAATTTGCCAAAGTCATCTGAAATCTTCTACTGTTTAAATTACTACAACAGCCTGCTTCCAGTTCTCCTGCTTTCCCACCAACAGTACAGTGCAGCCACTTCATCAAGCACCTCCTTGAGAAGGCCCAGGAAGTTGAATAACTCCTTTATTTATCTCTTTACGTTTATCATGTCATGTAAACATCACCACCAAGCTAACCCCATGAGGTACACATTATAATTCCTATTTTAAAGATGTGGAAACAGATGATCCAAAAAGTTGGGTGACTTGCTCAAGGTCACACAGCTACTACAGAATGGAGCAGGACCCGAACTCACTCACTCTCAAGTAAGAAATGGTATGAAGCATAACACCAGTACTCAACAAATGTGAAGGATTGACAAATGTCATTACCTGCTCACTTAAATCTTTTGTTAATCATAGAACTTTTTTATTCCTTGCTTATGACATTAAGAATATTATTTGACAGGAGTAATCATGTAGGATTTATGTATTGTTTGCCAGAAATCTACACATTGTAACCTGTTTAGATGTCTTTCAAATTCTAAATTCTCAAGTAAGAATTTAATCTGGACTTTGTATTCTTTTTTTATTCAACAACAACAACAAAAACAAAAAAAACTCACACAAGAGCCTTTCAATAAATTATCCTCCACATTCTCCAGAGTTCTCAAAACCACATTGATTGAAACCTCTAATCTGAATTATCCTTCTCTCATATTAAAATAATAAAGAATGGCCAGTTCTACTGACACATTAGAGTTGAAATAAGTAAAGCTAACTAAAACCAAGCCATGATCAATAAGAAAGGGAAATTTTTCCCACTACTTGCTTGAAGGAAGCTGAGGCATTATTAGAAAGTCCCCAACCTTTATGAGATGGGATAGAAAATAGCCAGTTTTTATTCATGAATTATCATTATGGCAAAAAATAAGACTATCATTTTGCCAGGACAATGATGAAAAGAATTTTCACATACGTTAGCTTACTGATGACCCTCATAACAGAACCGTGAGAGGGAATTAACAAACAACAAAAAATTCATCCTCAATTCCAGAAACGTAAGCTACAAGATCTGGGGACTTGCCAAAAGTCATAAAGCTACCAATTCCGGTCATCAGATGACCCGCCGTTTTCGTTCTTCCCAGGTCATCTATTGCACAGACCTCACCCCCTAACCGGGCCACCGGCTCCAAACGACGGCCAGCGTGGCCGGGGCACCTGGAGGGCAGATGGGACTGTCAGTGGGGAAAATGGCTTTTAGGGGGACAGGGAGACAAAGGTAGCACCGATTCCTTCACTGACTTCTTTTTAAAAAATGATTCTGGGAGACGCCGCTATCCGCTCGAGCAGGGCTGCCATCTGGGGGGGCTCAGGTGCGTTTTTCAGGGTGTGCACCGGCTTCCGGTACCCCAGACACCTGCCACCACCTATAACTTAGGTCTCCACACGCCGCGGCCCAGACACAGAACATCTCAGCCCCGCTCTCATCGGAGGTGAAGGAGGCCTTAGCTCCAGCCTCCGCGACTTACCTGTCGGGTCATAAGAGATTTGATTTTCTGCATGTCGAAATCGGGAGAGAGGTACCTGCCGCAAAGAACTAACAAATCACTCCAAACCACCGGACGGCTGGCCCTGGCAGAGGGAAGCCATAGTGGGTGGTCACGTGAAGCCGCCGAGCTTTCCTTTCGCTGGGCATGCTGGGAATTGTAGTCTTCCGCCTGCCCCGCACCCTCAATCGGGGGCGAGGACAGTCCAGGTACCACGCGTCCCAGGAAGCAAAACAGCCGGTGCTTCCGATTAACCCAGCAAACCTCCCTTCCAGCGACCCTGGCTGTAGCGGGTGTTTATAGAGGTGCTTGCTCTCGGTAGCTCTGCTCGGGCGAGGCGAAAACCTAACTCACCGGTGACCAGGCAGAACAGACATTGAGAAGTCGTGTATAAACCAGGCTGGCCGATGCCTCTAGGCGTGCCACCTGCTCTCGAGGGGCGGGCTGGGAGAACGAGAGACTGATCCGAAGCGGCAGGAACTCACTCCAAGAGGTGACCGGAGACCTTGGGACTCCCCAGGTGGCGCTGGGCTTGGCAGGGAAAGGTGTGGTCCAAGTTGTTCAGGCGGCTGGCCAAGGTGAGGACTGTCAGTCCTTAGCCTTGCAACAAGCCCTAAACTAAAAGATTTAACCCCCACTTCTCCTTTTACTACCAGCATAGCCTAAGACAAGTCAAGAAGGAAAATATAACAATAATAAGTATAAATGTCACTTTAAAGTCCTCTTGTCAACTTTTAGCAGTTGAATTAAATTGGGGAAAGTGATAGGGAAGTTGTTGGAGGTTTAATTGAAGAAAGAAATTTCCAATTATGAGAATACCAGAAAAAAAAAAAGCGACCCAGCACTAACAATTACTAAAAACTAACAGTTATTGAAAGCTTTGTACATGTTAAGAACTCTGCTGATAGCTTTACATGTATTATCTGATTTGTCCACACAAGCATCCCATGGGGTTGGTAACTGTTATCCCCATTTTGAAGATGAGTTCAACGAGGCATGGAGAAATTAAGTAACTTGCCTAACATTACTGCAGATGTGCATGCAGAAACTGAAGGTCTGGTTAGCCAGATGTTTTAAGTAAAGGTTTTATGGATAGGGTTGTAGAGTGAGTTTTAAAGTATGTGTGACCAAAAAAGGGGCCACATACTAAACCTGACAAGCTCGGGGGAGGCCTGCATGGCAGGCCCCACAAGCTCAGAGACTGAAAGTAACTACATGGGATGGTCTGAACATAAAACTTCCTAATTAAAAATAGATCATGGCCCTGTGGCTTCCTTGACAAAGGTCAATCTTTACCTTAACTGAGGCTGACTATTGTCCTTCTGCATCTAAGATAACAAACCTTTGGAATGTCAGAGTAAACGCCTTTTCTAGACACCTCAGGGCACACCCATCACACCAGAGCATCAGACCACAGAACCCATCATGTCATTGTGCTTTAAACATTGTTAACTATCCTGTACCCACCAATGTAAAGAAATATGTGTCTCTCCATGTTACTATTAATCTATTCTCAGAGATTTCACTAATTTGCTTTCTCCCATCCCTGTAATCTGCCACAAATGGATTTCATGTAACCTCACTTAGGAGACATCTCCTTCTTTGATTCTAATGTATAAAATAAGCTGTAAAACTGCCATCCTTCAAAGCATTTTCTCAATTCTCCTGGCAATTGTCATCAGCATGGCTCAAATAAACTCCTAAAAATTCTCTATAGGTTTAGATGTTTCTTACCTGGACACATGGTACCAATGATGTTTTTTTTAAAATATATTTTATTGATTTTTTACAGAGAGGAAGGGAGATGGATAGAGAGTTAGAAACATCGATGAGAGAGAAACATTGATCAGCTACCTCCTGCACACTCCCTACTGGGGATGTGCCTGCAACCAAGGTACATGCCCTTGACCGGAATCGAACCTGGGACCCTTGAGTCCGCAGGCTGACACTCTATCCACTGAGCCAAACCGGTTAGGGCTATTTTTTATTTCATTTATTTATATTTAGTGTTTATTAGGGGGGCAAACCAGACCCATGATTTCAAAACTATTTCTTTTTTTTTTTTCATCCATTTTATTTTATTTTGTCATGTGCTCACAACCTCTCCTCTCCCTTCCCTGGCAGGTCACAGATAAATTAAAAATAAAATCTACAAGGAAAATAATTTATTAAAGCACTCCCAGGCTCATACCTTCTATCCCTACTGCTCAATTAATGTGTTACCCCTCCCCCAAAGTGGGGAGAACCAGCATTTCCCCCATTCAACTCCTGCTAGTCCAGATTGTACCCCAGAACCAGACAAGGAGGGGGAGGGGCAGCAGTAAAAACTATTTCTTAAGACAACTAAAAAAATGTTAAAGTGTGACACACAAATGAAAAATATTAGGTAAACAACAGTATGAAGTGGTAATCAGTTATGGCAGAAATAATAAAAGTAGTTTGGAAATGACTGACGGTTGGGAACACTAATAAAATCAACTCTGAAAATGTATTATTTGACCTCTCAGAGTCTTGTCTGATTAGTTTTTACTAATGAAGTAATTATTTGATCTAGGGTTTTGTAAGGATAAAGACGAGGCAAGTAAATGCAATTTATAAATTGTAAAGCACCTTACAAGTATGATATATTAGAGTCATAATTCTGCCTGGTTCTCTGCTCCAACAGGATTACCCTGTGCTGAAAAATTCCTTTTGAAATGTTTTGTTTACCTATATACCTCTCTGACTGTTATTGCTAACCCATATAAAAAAATTTCCAGTCACTTTAGGGTAGTGCTAGTTTCTTTGTTTTTGTTTTTTTTACCTGCTCTAATCTTAATTGCCAGACAGTTCTCAGTGTGTGAAACTCTAAGATTTAGAAGTTCCTGAAAGCATAAAAAGAAACAGAAATTGCTCATCATATTAGCATATAAACTAAAACTCAGTTCATAAACATTTGTTGATTGTTGGGGACCAGGCAGAAGGAAACAAAGCATTTTAATAAGATACAGTTGTGTCCTCAAGGAGATTATGATTTTGTTGAAAAAGAATACATTAGGGGTGATCCAAATCCAATAGTTTTCAAGCCTGAATGTTTATATTCACCTGAGAAGTGTGCTGTGGTTCTTGTTATTGATCTCTTTTGGATTCTGTGTTTTAAAAAGTCAGTGATAGGCAGCCAGCTCTCATCTTTCAAATCCATTCTTTATGAGATGGGAAAATTTATCCACATAAGCTCTTGAGGGCACACATTTTATTAGAGATTGATCCAGGACTAGAATGCAGATCCACACCCAGATCCAAATAAAAAAAAAAGTTTTTTAATTCAGTGTGAGATTTTTTCCCTCCATAAGCCAAATTTGGGGAAATGAGTATTTTCTGTATCTATTTGATCCTGAAAAGGCAAGAAAGCTTTTAAGACCTTGTTTTCCTCTAATACTGCACATTTCATTTCTTATAAATTAAAAAGAAGTGAATAACTTAGGCTTCTGAAAGTTCAAAGGCTGTGACTGTAATATTGAAAAAAATGTAGTAAATCAGTGCTGCTATCTAAATTATATTTTCTAATTCAACATACCCTAACACTATAGAAAATAATTAAGCTATACATAATGCATTTTAATGGCAAAAAAAAACAACACCTACAGCCTTAAAGAGCATTTTTTAAAAGGTGAACGGCAAAAAAACAAAACAAAACACACCTACAGCCTTAAAGAGCATTTTTTAAAAGGTGAAGCATGTTATTTCATTTCCACTTTTCAAATATATATATGACTTATTTAGGACTCGCACACTTGCCTAAAGGCTGTTAGTGGTAAGTTAGAGCATAGTAGTGGAAAGTATGGATGGCCTGCCAACAAGTCTCAAGGAAATCTTGCTGGATGATAGTCATTTTATAAAGAAGTGCTCACCCCGTTTTTACAGATTGGAACATCAGGTCTAAGAGCTAATTGGATCTGACTTGGGACAATAGCATTAGCAGTAAAATAGGATAAGGATATATTTATGATAGTCCAAATGGGAGGAGCCTCTAAAACAGTGGCTCTCAATCTTCCTAATGCCGCTACCCTTTAATACAGTTTCTCATGTTGTGGTGACCCCCAATTTCATTGTTACAAATTGAACATAATTAAAGCATAGTGATTAATCACAAAAACAATATGTAATTATATATGTGTTTTCCGATGGTCTTAGGCAACTCCTGAAGGGGTAGAGACCCACAGGTTGAGAACCGCTGCTCTAGGAGCTTAAATTAAAGCTGAGATCTTGGTTTGATTAAGAAGATACATTTCTAGCCCTAACCGGTTTGGCTCAGTGGATAGAGTGTCAGCCTGCGGACTCAAGGGTCCCAGGTTTGATTCCAGTCAAGGGCATGTATCTTGGTTGTGGGCACATCCCCAGTAGGGGGTGTGCAGGAGGCAGCTGATCAATGTTTCTCTCTCATTGATGTTTCTAGCTCTCTATCCCTCTCCCTTCCTCTCTGTAAAAAATCAATAATATAGATAGATAGATAGATAGATAGATAGATAGATAGATAGAAACATTTCTAATCATCCTCTAAACATCAAAGCAGTGGAAAGATGTGACATCTCCAATATGGTGTAACTGCACTCCCTAAGCAAGCAGGAGCAGAAAACAGAAACCTTGCTGAAGATAAAACAGCGACCTGGAGAGGGACCCAGGGAGGAAGACATTGCTGCAGAGTTATCAGTATACCCAGGATTCTGGGAGGCAGCATTGTAGACATACTAGTAACTATAGAGAAGTGAGCACCAGCACAGGCATGGGCAGGTGTGGTGGCCTCCTCTAGCAGCCAGCTCTTCCTGTAAACTGTAATCTTTCCTAGGATCTAGCTATAACATAAGACAGTGCTTCCTTTCTCCCAGTTCTTCCTAGTCCCCACTGTTCTACACTAACCTGGTCATTTCACTACCTCTCCCTCCCAGTTGTTCCCATTGCTAAATACTCATATGCTGCTAGTAAATAAAGAATGTGGCTGTTTGGAATGAATGTAGCAGACTGTTTGCTTTATAAAGCAAAACCAGACTTACAATTGGTTAAAATCTTCCCATCAAACACCATCTCTCCCCCCTGCCTTTTTCTCTCTCTCTTACACACACACACACACACACACACACACACACACACACACACCAGTGACTTCTTGCATTGCTTGA